AGTATTTATTTTCTTGTAGACTTGTTACTTTTTTAGATATTTTAATAGATTTTTATTTTTTAGAAAAAGTATTCAAGTACAATTATAATTTTTGGATTTTAAAAAAAAAATAGAAATATTTTTTATGGTAAATTAGATATAAAATCATTCTTCAAGGATCTAATTGATGTTTCAGTATTAGTTTAGAGGTAAAACTAAATATTTACCTTTGTTAATATTGTCACATCATAAATTTAACGAAAATGACAGTGAACTAACCATTTTATTACATATCATAATGTCAATGATTGATGTATTATTTTTGAAACTTCAATAGAGAAAACAAAATTTACTCAAATATTAATGACCATTTGTGTAATTTATCCAAATATTTAATAATAAAAATTTTAAAACTAAGTTTTCCCATTAAAGAAATATTTATATAATTTTTAAATTTCACACTTTAAAAATAAATTTTCTAACTCTGTCCCTGACTAAAGTCAGTGATGGATGCAAAGCATCCTCAGGGTAAGTACGTGCACACCCTGAAATTTGAGTTTCTTTATATTAGATGTTTATTTATGGGTGCATATCCTGATATTTTACTTGTGCCTACCTTATACGAAATTTTTTAATAATTAATATGTGCGTGTACATCCTCAAAAATATTTCTGGATTCGTCACTTACTAGGATGATATATTTACACTGCCTAGTAATCACGGGATGATTCTTCTATAAGACACTGCAGTAAGTTTTGATTTGGAGGCTAAACAAGTCAGACAAGTTCAACCAACTGATTTGGACCTGTTTTGATAGTCTATGGTTAGTAAGAGACCGAGTCTAAGTTCATCTGTGCTTTGTATGAAGTACACGACAGACACCTAACTCGTTCTTATCCACTCGAATGTATAGACCTTGTCCCATATCAGTATATATTCTTATCTACTACTACTGTAAAGAGAGAGTTCTTCTACTTAATTAAACTACATAATTTTTATGGTTCCTTCTAAAAAATTTCTGATCTAAAATAACAACAAAAACAGGTTCCACTTACATACTTTTGGTGTACAAAGTTTAGCGGTTATCTTTGATGACATAATGTGTGTTTGCATTCAAAGAGAAGTGACAGAGAAATAAATGAGTTGTATTATGGGGAGCCATTTAACAGGATTTCTCAATGGATCAGTTACTCAGTTTAAAGTTTGTTGAATCAGTTGACATCTCTAGTAGGGTTATAGAAGCAATGTATTGGGCTATGGCAAAGGGAAGTAGGATTTACTGAAGTAAAAAGAATGAAATCAGAACTGGGCTTATTCATCTATTCTATTATTTTCCCTTTGATTATTGTTCAATTTTCGTTCCCTTTTCTAAGGCACCTCGGTGCTATATTGGTGATCTACAATCGTCGGCGTCTCCGTTGATCGGTCTTTAGTGACTTCAAACATATACAATGGTAGAATAATTTTATATATGTATTTGATAAAATATATATATATATATATATATTTTAATGATCTAATGTATCTGTAAATTTATGTTTTGATTGAATTTTATATTTCCTTAATAATTTTGTCTTGAATATCAAACATTGATATACACTACTAATATCATACACTGATATGTATTATTAATATGAAATAAGATAAAATTCATACGTAAACATTAAAGTATATTAAAATGGTCATTTTATTATTCTACTTTCAAAAGTTATGAAATAAACATTAAACTTTAATTTTTTTTAAAATAGACAAAAACAATTAATTTTCATTGAAGGGGTGATGTGACATTAAATTAATAAGAAATGTTTCATTTCACCCTCAATAATTTTAAAATAAAATTTAAACTTTAATTTAGGTTTGTCAAATTTAATTCAAACATAATTCTAAAATAAAATAAATTTTATATGACACGTTTTGAAAAACTCGATTAATAAACTTAATAAGATCAAATTTTAAAACAAAAATCGAACCTCAATTCATTCAAACCTAAATTGATTAGTTTTAATTGAATTTATATGTTTGGTTTTGTCAATTATCCGCCCACAATTGTTGAATCTAAGCAACCATATAACCATGAAGAAGCTGAAGCCCAAGACAATTACACTGATCCAATGCACTAAATCAAATAAGAAAAACCTTGCAATACAACATATTGGTATTACATATGCTTGCATATTCAATAATAAGAAACAAGTGAAAAAAATGACATCAACATCCTACAGACCGTACATTGGATACGTCTTCAGGAAGTTAAAAAGGAGTACTGAACTAGGAATTTTGGGTCCAATGATCATTGACAGCCGCGATCAGTGGAGACCAGTGACATAATCGATAGGGGTCAAATTAAAATAATGAACGACATCATCAGGAGTTAAATTGAAGTTCTATCTAAATTTCAAAAATTAAATTAAAATTTGATATGAAATTTAGAGTGGAATTAATATTTTGATCAGAAGTTTACCCATTCCAATACAAAAGTTGTCATGAAAACGAAGGTAAAGAGCGAAGAGGCACAATGGTGATTGATGGGTCATTTTATGTTTGTTGGACAAATATCTGTTGAACGACGTCTACGAACTCGTAAGCACCGAATACGACGACTCTTATGATCCATTAAATCTTACTGTTTTGTTGATATGAATATACATAATAACAATGCAATTTGGGTTAGAGATTCTTATACGATCGAATAGGAAAAAGAAGAAGGAAAAGCCTCAAATAAAACGGGATCATTTAGACAGCTTGATAAAACAATAAAGTTGGCGACAAAGCTTTTTGTCCAAATGAACACCCCAGAATTGAAAGAATAAGTAATAATGGTGTAACAAAACAGGTTCCTTTGAAGGCCATTGTGAGCCATATGGTTTGATTCGTTTATGGGGGAACAAAGATTAGATTCAAAGCAGCGAAAAGAAATCACTCTTTTTCAACCTGAAAAGAAACTAAACTTGAAGTAGAAGACAACTTTTCTCTGAGTTTTCCTTTGATTTGCCAAAACAAGACAAAGGGAAAGCATTTTATACAAGTGATGCATCAGAAACTTCTTGGACTCGTATATTTTAATCTATAACACCATAAATTTATTAAGTGGTCTCAGTAATTAAAAACAATGTTATTATCCTTAGAAAATTAGAAATCGATTTCGAATAGTTGTGTCTACAAAGATGCCTATACCTAGTAATAAGTTAAAAAATTCTGAATAATAACTCTAGAATATTTAAAAATAATAATATATAACATCAAGAATGATGCTTAGATCCATGCTTTCCCTTTTAGTATGATAGAGTTTATGACTCGAATTTTGTATTTTTTAGACTTTGAAAATTTTATGGTGTGACATGACTATATGTTTTTTTGTTAGATTTTGATTTAAGATATAATGTCAAAATTAACCCCTAAAGTTTATCAAAATGGTTATTTTGCTCTTCTATTCTTTTTTTTTTTGGAGTATTTTGACCCATAATGTTTCATTTGAGGGGGGGAGGAAATGCCCCTCTATAGTTGGAAATCGTTAGTTAACACATGATTAATGCTCTAAAATAGAGATTGTTTACCCTAAATGTGAATGTTGAGGGACAAAATGCCCCCAAAAAAGAATAAGGGTCAAAGTGACTATTCTGACAAATGTTAGAGACCTTTTTGTCCTAAAATAATACGTCAGAGGCCGAAATATTCTAAAAAAATAAGGACCAAAATGATCATTTTGATAAACGTTTGAGACTAATTTTGATATTATGCCATAGTTTAAAATGAAAAGTATAGTTTGAATAGATTTCTCAATACCATGTTTCCTTAGTGACCTTATAAATAATTAATGTGAATTAGGTTTTCATGAGAGTGGATTACTGTGATGTTTACTGGGAGTTGCATAAACATAACCATTTTATATTTTATCGATATTGAAGTGAACTTTTTCTTATTCTGCTCGTGGTTTTTTTTGGTCAAGAACTTTTATACAAATTTAATATTTCTTTTATTATATAATGATTGTTATTATTCTATAACATTGTATTTCATTTATTATTTTTGTTTTTGAATTCTTTTTGTAATCATAAGTAAGGTTGACACTTCAATTTGTCGGGTTATGGACTTATGGTATAAAAAAAAGAAATGAAGTCCATGGAAGGGAAGTGGAGGTACAAATCCAGATTCTTCAAGTTATGGTATAATACCCATCAATCGATCAATTCTAAAGGTCACCGAATTAATATGATGAAAAAGCAAGCGTCAAGACCATATATGCCAATCATACCAATGAAACTATATAGTTTTCATTTCTCGTGATTAGTGACTTGCCATAGGCGATTCTTCAACATTAAGCCTCTTTGAGGATTTTGGCTACTTTATTGATCCCTTTTCTTTTTGTTGGTTTTCATTTCTTTGACATTTCGTTAAAGCTTTGAATATGTGATTGATCATGTCTATGTGAAGTGCTGAATTAAGGCCATAGCTTATCAATTTACTACGTAAATACAATCAATTCAGTATTATTTATACTAGAGATCTGATTTTAAGTGGTATGACTTCCCCTCTTGTTACTATTGAGAGTATGGTTGCTTATCGAATAAGTCGATCATAAGTTGAATTATATTTGATTTTACTCGAAAAATATTTGATTCGTGTTTGCTTCGACTTGATACTCGATAAGTTGGATAAAATTGTGCTCGACTCATACTTGTTAAACAAAATAAAAATTGCTCGACTTGACTCTCGTTTGTTAAGTTTGTCAAAATTTTTGGCTTTTTTTTTAAATACATGTAAAATCAAGTAATACCATATATATATACAACTTAATATAAATATAAATTAACAACAAATGACCAAAATAGTGTGAAGCAATTCCAAAGTATAAACTCAAAAAGTAACAATCCAATTTACACCAAACTAACATATTACAATCAAAGTAATAATCTATAAATACATCAAATTAGCATATTATAATCATTATTGAAAGAAAAAAAGTTTAAAAATACATAATAAATTTTAAAAGTAAGGCAATCAACTTCTTAAAAAATATAAAGAAAAATAGTGAATTGCTCGTGAATTTATCGAGTCGAGTTGAGATTTATTTAATTCAACTCGTTAAAATCTTAAATTAAACTTAAATTTAAATCAAATTGATTTAAATTAAACATTAATTAAATTTTAACTGAATAGAACTTAAACTGTTCCAGAACTGCTAAACTCGGTTATCAGCCCAAATTGATGCTTTTGATTGCCTAATCTATAAACAATAACTGTGATTAGGAACAGTCACATTTTAATAAAAATAGTAGGAAAAATCACTATTCCGACGGAAAGGTGACCGTCACTATATTATTATTATTATTATTATTTCCTTAAAGTCTATATGGTTACTATTGAATTATGCTATTCCTTAGTGGTTAATTGAGGGTAAAGTTGCTGAAAAGTGAAAATTCCAAAATTAAAACCAAAGAAAAGTTATGCTGATCGACCAAAAGTGGAGCTAAGCACATACGAGATAATTATGTGTTAAACATGTTTTAGCAGCTCGTCACAAAAAACATGTTTTAGCAGTGACCTAAGTGTTCTTAATTAATAATTTAAGGAACAGTCAGTTACTTGACACACATGCAACACGATAAGAAAAAATACCTTTGATATGTATCTAGTGCCATGCCACAACTCAAAAAGTGTCCTAGGTTATTAAGACCCCTTCCATTTTAAGAGTCAAAAAGAAAACCTATAGCTTTCAGCTTTTTTATTTTTGTTTTTTTTATTAAGAGCCCTTCCATTTTGAGAGTCAAAACGAAAACCTATAGTTTTACCAACGGAAAAACTCGTTACTATAGCATTTTTTCTAGTTTGCATTGTATGAGTCATCATGCCGATGGCACTCAAATCATGGGAATCCAGAGTGGTTTTACCTTTCTTTATTCATGTTGGAGGTTGGGGTTCTCATAGGTGAATTCTCATAAGTTATTTGATTTTCTGCCGATTAAAATTATGGGTATCTCTGATAGACGTATTATGGAATCTTTTCACCCTCTATAGTGTGAGTCAGGAAGGTTGCACAAGACTCTTATACTTCATGTTGAGACATGGAAAGTTACTTAAGATCGGGGAACCTATCGTGGGTTGGACCAGTATGTTATGATTGAGCTTAGACCGCTCCATATTTATTAGAGTGACTCAGAGGTTGCCCTAGAGGGTTCGACTTTCCTCTCCGATAGAGTATGCCCGGTTCAATGGGTGAGCAAATATATTCCACGCTCACCGCACCAATTGTAGATGAGAACGAATAAATTACGGTGACTATAGTCAGTTCATCTCTATTAGTTTGGACAGACAGCTGTAGCCGGTGAGAAATTAATTGTTGACTGATGTTAAATTATTTTGTCTCCGTAAGGAGGTAGAATAGGATGAGTAAGGGAAAAATGTTTTTTTTCTTGTGACTTGGTCTCGATCGAGAGTCTTTATGGTGACCCCTAGTGTTGGTGTCAATTAGATGATCATTATGGCTATCCGATTCTGTAGGTTAGCAAGCGAAGTAGATACGGTTAGTTGACAATAGAGTTTTGTTTTGGTAAGTCACGTGCTTTTTAAAGATCATGTCAAGAGATCGTGACTTTTTGATGGGTGCTAAGTGTTCAAAACTCTTTCTTTGTAGGTGCTCTCTTGGAATCCTACCTATGGAGGGGGTTCTCTTAAAGCTTCGGGATGCGAAAATGATATGTGGAGGACACTTGACAGAAGTACAACAAGAATAAAAATAATTTAGAATGAGAGTTATATTTGACGATATTATATGATTTCATATACAATCAGTAGATAAGATAATGACAAATACTATAAAATATATATAAAGAATTAAATTTATTTAACTTTATTTTTCATGTTATGCTATTATTTTGTTTTTAATAATGTATCAAATATTATTCGGTAAATTAAAACTCTTCAAATTTAATCTAACTTATCTTCAACTTTTGTTCAACATTGTAGGAGATATTTTGCCCCAAACTGTGGCAAATGGCTATCCACAAAAGCATAATTGATGCTTCCCAATAAGATAAAATCTTAGTTCTTAAACGCTCCAAGTAGCTAATGCGAGCACGCTCAAGCACAAATGAAGGACCCTACCAACCTCAATTGATTTAATATAATGAGTTGTTAGATATTTTAAATAATATTTGAATTTAAATTTTAGAATTATGAATGAAACAAATTGAAGAAATCGTATCTATAGGTCTAATATAGGTATAATTGGATAAAATATTATGTCTCTTAAATAACATTTATGTTTAAATTTTGTCGTTATGAATAGAAATAATTAAGTTGGAAGAATCAACCTATAATAGATCGTTATAGTATTCGATATGAATTAACCTACCAATTATATCAAAAGAATATAGTGAAAAACCTGAGGTATTTCAATTTTCGCTAAGCTTAGCACTTGTTCCTGTTGCCAATAATTACTAAAACTTTGATTATCTAAAGAACCAATTAAAAAACAACCTGTGGTTATCTTTTCTTTTATGTATCAAAGACTTTGCTTGCTATGATTATCATTCTCTTTGTAGAAGCTGGCCCATCACACTGTGTTCGTGTCTGTCGATACCATCTTTGGACCGTCACTTTCCTTTTCCTTTTATTTTATGGCCTTCGTTTACCTTTATTAATTGTCTTCTTCTTTACCTCAATGTTCCACCAAAAGTTGGCATCCAAAAATCAGTTGTGGTCTCATTAGTAACAGGAAATGTGCTCGATATCGGCAATAAACATAACCCCCGGCTTCTTAGATCTTGTTTTGGCTCATCTGCATCTTTCACCTGGGAAACTACTGCTTGTTTTATATATGGAATACTTAGAACCTGAAATAATAAACAATTCATATGTTAGGGTTTCACATAAGGCGAATAAAACGAAGAAAGTAGTGCAAAATACATTGACTTGATCATGGAGGAACTTGATGTATTCAATGGCTTCATGGAGAACAGATGCGGTATCGGTCTGAGAGCAAAAGATAAAGTAGATATTAACCCAAAGGCTAACCTTATAAAAAGTAAATTCAATTGTTTGCACTTTGAAATGTAAAAGAAAGAAAGAAAATCCAAAAATTCACCTTTCCGAAAGGTGAAACCAATTGTTGGAGAGCAGTGATTCGGTCCCCTAGCTTCTCTTTCCGAACCTGATCATAAAAGTTACTTCAACTTGCAGAAAAAGTTACTTTAACTTGTCAAATTTATATACTGACATAGTTCAGTACCTTGAAAGTTGGTGACGGAGATGGTGTTTCAAGCTTTGGCCTCTTGAATGGAGGTTCACTGCTTCCTTTCTTCGTCGCCACCGAACCGGAGTCTTGGACTTCTTCGGAATTAGTCTATAGTAATACCGACCCAATAACATGAACTAGAAGGCATGGTCATGAAGTACTGTAATATGTCTCAATTTAAATTTTATTGTTCACTTTACCTTTGCCGTGGGGCTGAAGCAATTAGGTTTCTCGTTGAATGCTTGATGTACAAGAAATTGTTGCTTCAGCAACGATGGACTTATGAAAGGTGATAATTCATTAGTGTTTGCCCCATAATTGGCTGTTGTAGACGATATATAGTTTATTGACGACCAGCACGTCGGTAACAACGTCGATGGGTACTCATACAGTGCCGAGTCCATTTGGAGCGTGGTCGGTATACCATTACCGGAGTTGATAGCCGAAGTCAACCTCAGTTGCTCCGATGGAAAATGTTGATAGATAGGTTCAAAAGCAGTAATGGAAGAATCTTTCCCTCGGCTTGAAAAGCTCATCGGACACCAATCCTTGAGGATTTGAGAAGAGCACATGTCTGGTTCTTGCCGATAACTCAACCTCGAATCAATGTCTTGTTGAAGAATCGAATTATAACTCTCGGTTCTCCCATTACTTGGACTGCAGCAAGCAATGATATAAAACGATAATCAGAGAATTTGGACTAATAATTATGTGTTTAATTGATTGACTTCCTTTCCCAAACCAAAACAAAAGTTGAAATATTCTTCTTTTTCGAACTTCTTGTTGAAGCTTCGGAGTATTAAGGTCATACTTAATTATACTAAAAAAACACTAAAACCAGTTATCATCATTACGAAACATCATCAAACTTACAGCAAAGACAAGTTCCAGTCCGAGGTTGTCGATGATGGGAGGTTAAAACCCAACATTTGTAAAGTAGAATCAAACAAAATACTGCTGCCAGTGCCAGTGCCAGTACCAGTACCAGTACCAGTACCAGTACCAGTACCAGTACCAGTACCAGTACCAGTACCAGTACCAGTACCAGTACCAGTACCAGTAGTGTCTGAATCAGCTTCCCGAAGCTTTTGATGTGGAGGAGGAAGATGACCCTGTAAAACTATGGAGCTTGCCTTGACATCCACCATATCAGTGCCGTATCCGAAGCTTCCCATGTCGGAAACCTCCGTAGAACACGGCGGGGAACACCCTGCTAACATGGATTTCGTCGAATTCCACCACGCTCCTCCGCAAATCCCGCCGTGAAATTCTTCTTCCATACCCTGAAATGTTTCAAGTTGCTTCTTTGGTTCTTGTCTTGGCAGATGAGACCTCTCTCTCCTTTGAAAGTTATATGTGTAAATTTATATACGAAACGATCCAAGTGTAGGATTTAGTGCGATAGAAAATGACAGAAATTTGGTTGACATTTCGAGGGATGATTGGACAGATGAAAGTCGAATTCTCTTTTCCTTCTGTTCATTAGTTATTATAAAATTAAATTTAACTTTGTTTTCGAGTCTTACTTTCCACGTAAAAGAAAATGTTTTAAGAATTACCTGTTCCTTCTGAATAAAGGGACGTGGGAATATGATGATGAAGACGGTGCTTTTTTAATCGGACGGTTGGTATTGGTTGAATATAATAGTGAAAAGATATTCTTTGGATCAATCTTAAATTTATGGATCCTTGGAACTTACGGTGCCAAAGATGAGTATGATTGTTTTAGGGCTTTCAGATACTTGGTGCGGTGGCGCGTGGCTCTCACTTTCATATAAATAGAATGCGTAAATTTATAATTTACTCACTAAACTTTATCCTCTCTTATTTCACTCACTGTTGTTTTAATTTTTTCACTCACTAAATTGTTCTTGTTTACCTTTATGAAAGAAGAAAACACAATGAAAAAATCCTTCCCTTAAATATTACCTCCGGTAAAGACCAGATTTTTCTAAACCGATCAATTCTCTTCACCTTTTCATGGTCAAATGTCGTGTGTAATCCTAAAACAACACAAGTCACGTTTCTTGACTTCTGTCGTCACAATCTCTCTAGTATTACTTGAATTTGAATGAGTATTACTTTGATGGTCATCTCTATCCGGTTATGATTGAATTCAGTCAAGTTAGATCTCTTGGCATCAACCACAAGTACATCAATTCAACATTCTCGCTCGGGGTTTTCAAGCTTAGATTCTTGAGAATCTCCAATGCATATAACAACAATTTTAAGGGTCCTTTATCGTTAGAGTTTGTACGGTTAAGGTTCTTGGAGTAGCTAAATAAGATGGAATGTGTTTATGGAAGCTTTATTATGTTGAAGTTGCTGCAAATAAAGAGAGACATGGCGGTGGGGGGGAAATAAATTAAGAAAGTTGTAATGGTAGTTTCTGTCATCTCTTTACGTTAGAGTTTGTACGATTACGCCAATCACCTTTTGTGACTAATTGAGAAGCCACAAATTTACCGTCTTTGGTGATCTCTAATTATTCTAATTACATTTTAATTTTTTATTATAAATTCTCAAAATGGATTTGATATCCTAATTTTATTATTATTATTTTATATTATATTTAAATTCATTTTGACTAATTTATTTGATTTCCATTTTATAATTCTTTGTTTTAAAATTATTTATTCAAAAAAATTAAATAATTATATGATTGGTGGTATATCTTAATTTATACATAAAATAATCATGCATATCACAAAAGTAAGAGTACTAGTAATTTAACTAAAAATAAATGTTATTTTTTATTTTTCATACATTTATTTTTATTATAATAATTAATTTAGTGTAAACAAATTTATATTAACTGATATAACATGTATATAAAAGGAAAATAGGAAAATTAAAAATATTTTTATACAATTAATAAAATTGAATAGTATTATTATTATTAATTATGAATTTAAAAGTTGTTTTTATTATTAACATAAATTATTATTTTTATTTATTAGGAAAAATAAATGATTAAGGAAAAAGAAAAAGAATAGGAAAAGTAGACTTGGCAAACTTGACCCAAACTCGATTACCCGAACCTATTTACACGATCCAATATCCGATATTAACCCGAATATGATAATTAAATTTGATCCGATACCCGGCCCATACCCGATCCAAACCATACCCGACTCAAAAATTAGCGAAACTGAAAGTAACTCGAACTGAAACTGAAATTAACCATAACTTAAAGAAATCCGAACTGAATTTTAACCCGATCTGAAAGCAACCCAAACTGAACTTAACCCGAACCGAAATTAATCCAAACCGAATAATAAATTAATTTAAATAAAATTGATAATTTATTAAAAGTATTAGATTTATAATAAAAATAATAGAAAGTTTGCTTAGGTTATTAGATTTATAATAAAAATAATAGAAAACAACTAAAACAAAGGAAATAATATTAGGTTTATAATAAAAATAATATAAAATTTACTTATGTTACGACTAAAACTTAACAAATAAAGTTATGTATTATTTTTTAAAATCTAATAAAAATTTTAAATTTATAATTGGAAATAAAGATTTCAATAAAAAATTATTTCTTTATCAAATGGTTCTCGTTATAAACTTTTCATACAAGATCAATATAAAATTTTGATAACAAATTATGACATGCATTATAGGATTGTATTTGTGTCAAATTATCGATTTAACATCTCTAAATGTTGGTTTAATTCAAAATATTGAACGGTTGAAAATTGAAATTAGGCCTAAATTATAAAATTAACAAACAATAAGACATTTTTACAAGAATATATCAATAATTCTATGTATACTTGACTAGACTTATGATCAATTCAACCAGAATTGACATGATATAAATGTTGACCTAATCTGAAAATCAACCGATCTGATATTGACTCGACCTGATATTGATCTAAACTGAAACATAATCGTTCTGATAATTACCCGACCCAAAAATTGACCTGACCTAATACCCGTCCCGATTTACCGTACACCCGAACTAAATATGAATCAGATCCGATCCGTCCTGAACAAAATTAAACCGAATATAATCTAGACTCGAAATAACCCGACCTGAAATGACCTGATTTTAATGACCCATTTGCCAAGAAAATATGAAAAAGAAGCAAGGGTTACATATCATCATAAAACATCTAATGGAAAAAAAATTAAAATATTTTAAATTTAAGAGATAAATTTATTATTTGATATGTGATTTGAGCATACTTAATGTAATTAAAGTAATTATTTTTGTACAATATTTAAATTATCTAAAATTTTAGATTAAAATATAATATATATTTAAATTTACATTCTCTTAGATTTTATAATAATTATATTAATTAAGAAAACCTTTAGACAATTAATATATTTAGATTTGGGAAAGGGAGAGTAAATAAGTGAGCATTCGATTCAGTTTTTTTTGATTTATTCGAGTTGATGAGTCGTATTTTACAACTCGAACTTAAATTGAAATTTTCTCAAGTCGAGTTTAAGAAATTCGAGTCGAGTTATTCGAGTTTCTATACTAATTTTGTTATAATTATTTATAGTATTATGACAAGGATTTGTTTCAATTTTTTTGACTTTCTCTAGCCGTGTAAGACATATATATTACATTCTTTTCACATTATAATGTTATTTAATTTATAAAATACAATATAAAATTATAAAATATATTCATAATATTATATTTCAAAGAAAGTATTTTGAGGGTAAAATATTGATGAGAGTATAAAGGAGTCAAGGAATTGATGTGAAGAAAGAATTTGCAAACAATTGTAGTCAAAAGACCAAATTGAGTAAAATGCAAAGTTAAGGAAGTAAAATGCAAAGTTAAGGGAGTAAAATGCAAAGTTAAGGGACTAATAAAAGAGAGAGAGTACATTTTTAGTAAAAAAGTAGAAATTGAAGTTACATATGTATTCTATTATAGTATATGAGCATGTGGCTCAAATTTGGTAAAAGCGAACTTAAAATAAAGGATAAATTGAAGAAATAAAGAAATAATAAAAAATTAATGGACTAAATTGAAAAATAAAAAATTTATTATCAGAAAGAGGAATTGAAAGTACATATGTATTTTATGTTAGGAGCATGTGGTTGAAATTTGATAAAAATAGACTTAAAATGAAGGAATAACTGAAAGAATAATGAAATCGGAGACTAAATTGTAAAACTTTCAAAATACTTGGTCAGATTTTTGATTTTTTGAGTAACTCGAAATTTCAAAATTTCAACTCGACTTGAACTTGAAAATGAAATTGATAATTCGAATTAACTCGAATAACTTAAAATTAAAAAATTTAATTTTTTGAATCGAATCAAATTTTACTCCTTTAAGAGTAATCGAATTTGACATCGTGCTTATGCCGCATAATATGACCAAAGGGGCAATAGAAAACAATAGTAAACCATGTGAGCCCACAGTGCAAAGAGAAACAACGGACCAGTTTTGGTTAGGCTCTGCCAACAGACCATCAGGCAAAGCAATAGGTGACGGGTTCGGCTCATACAGCCGAAGAATAGCATTCTTTTCTTAGGGTCAACTACACATTTAGTACCTATATTATTATTCTTGTTCCATTTTAGTATCTAAACTTTATTTTTTTAAATCATACCTAATGTTACTACAGCAAAATAGGCCTTTGGCGGCTTTTTTTTAACCCTATAACGGCGTTTATAAGTGCCGCTAAAAACTTTCCCGGCGCTTGCAAAAATACCGCAAGAAGTGCCGCTATAACAAGCGTCGCAATTGTTAGCGGCGTTTTAAAAAAACAACGACGCAATAGGTCGAGACATATAGCGGCGTTTGTCTTTACAAACGTCGCTATTGACTGTGTATTTAGCCGCGTTTGACTTTGAAAACGCTGCTATTGACTGTGTATTTAGCCGCGTTTAACTTTGAAAACGCCGCTATTGACTGTGTATTTAGCGACATTTTACTTTATAAACGCCGCTATTAACTGTGTATTTAGCGGCGTTTGTCTTTGAAAATGCCGCTATTGACTGTGTATTTAGCGGCGTTTGTATTTATAACGTTGCTATTGATTGTGTATTTAGCGGCGTTTGTCTTTGAAAATGCCGTTATTTGATTGTTATTTAGCTTGTTTGTCTTTATAAATGCCGCTATTAACTGTGTATTTAGTGCATTTGTAATTAAAAATGCCGCAAATATGCCCCTTATTAGTGGCATTTTCTTATAAAAACGCCGCAAATGACATTATTAGGAGTAGCTGCATGAGTTACATAAAACACCATTAAAGACATTCTTTACACCCACATTAATAAACAATTCTACAAATCAAAGCATATATTGCAGATATTAAATAAAAACAAGTCACTTGAAATTAAAAGGGTGGAAAA